TGCTACCTTTGCCCTTGTACAGTGGTAGCACAAGTGCATCCTTCAGCTCAGCAGGCACCTCCTCCTCAATCCACACGTGTTGCACCAAGTGGTGCAGCGCAGTCAACAACGCGGGTCCACCGTGTTTCAATACTTAAGGTGGGAACCCGTCACCTCCAGGACATTTGCCATTTCGCAGCTGAGCAAGTGCTCTCTGCGTCTCATCCAGTGTCGGCGTATCCGCCAGATCCGCCTTCACATCGTGCTGCTTCAGGCCGTTCAATGTAGGCCAGTCGATCTCTGAACGCTTGTTCAAGAAACAGTCAAAGTGTTTCCGCCAGATCTGCATTATGTCTGCAGTCTGGGTGCAGGTAGCGCCTGAACTACCATAGATCAGTGTCCTCAGCGGCTCCAATCTCGGTCCATACACCGCCTTCAAGGAGTCAAAGAATTCCTTGTGTTGGCGGCGTTCGGCGTAGCATTCCATCTGCATCGCCTTCTCCGTCCACCATGCATTTTTAATGCGACGGAGCTCTCGGGTCAGTCGCCGTCGAAGTTTGCGAAACTGACTACTCTTTCCCAAGTCACTGGGGTCTGCCACATGTGCAGCAAATGCTGCATTCTTCTCTGACACCAATAAGCCAATGGTCGTATTGTTCACATCAAACTAATCAGGCCGCTTACAGTTTGCGCGCCCGATGGTCTCCTCGGTAGCAGCTGTCACCTGATCGCGAATGTGGTGCCACAGGTCGCCCACTGTGGCTATGCAGTCCACATCACACAGGCGTGAAGCCATCGCCTTCTCCAGCTCAATACGTTTCGCTACAGTACAAATCGAGAGAAGGTTACATTTGCGCCGATTCACGGCGGGAGTGCAATACATCGATTTACGAAAATATATGTACAGTTTGGTCCGAACCAATTTATGATCAGTGCCACACTCAGCTCCACACAATACGCGTGTCATTTGCACTTCACGCGTATCACGCTGACGTACGGTGAGCCTGGCCACTCCGTGGGTGCGTCAAAGTTGCTATATCATTCGCACTCAGTGCAAACCGAGTGTTCGTGATCGTCAGGCCGTGAGTGGCACACTGTGAGAGCAGCCTGTCACCGTTCGCATTCGCTGAACCAATGCAATGCGGACCGATGACATTTGTCTACACCGATGCATCAAGCTCCACGCACTGGTTGAAAGCACCCAGCAGAAGTAGTCCGTCACTCCTCGGCATAGATCGTATCAATGAGAAAAGGTGATTGCAGAATTGATCACGCGTGTCATCGGGATAACACATGGTCGGACCGTAGGTGTTTATAAAAGTGACAAACCTATATCTGCCGTGTCGTAGGCGGACAGTCATCAGTGGCACGCAGGTGCCTGTTCGTTCATCAACCAGCTGGTCATTTAAGTGATCGGATAGTGCACAGCTGACCCCATGTTCACGTGGTGCAGAGGTGGTGTAGCCCACCCAACATCTGCTTCAGTCAAGTTACCTTGCTCAACGAGCCGAGTCTCACTGAGCGCCACAATATCGATATTGTAGCGCGCCAGTTCCATCACGACCAATGCAGTGCGTCGATTGGGGCGCTCACTCGAGTTCCGATACAGTAGTGTGCGCAAGTATTAGCACCCAATGCTGGGTGCTTTGCGCGCAGGCACACGACTGTATTGGTAGGCGATCGCCCTCTCAGTTGTGGTTGTGCTTCGGAGATTTGCTTGAGACTCCATCCGGAACGTTTGGCTCAATAGTCTAACCCACAAGGCAGTTGGGAGAAATTCCAGCTCAGGAATGTGATTACAGAGACAGATCGGGATCTGCTTGAGGTCCGTCACACGCAATTCATATATGTTTTACGACCGTAGTAAGATACGCACCTGCGACCATGGCCATACGCTGGTGGGTTTTGGTGGGTTTGCACCAATTTGACCAGGGGCTGCCTGGCTCGAGGCGGGCAGAGCAAACCATTGAACACCCGGAGGTTCCCTTCTACCGTCAGAAACAATGTGTGGCGTTCGTGTTCTAGGCCAATCGCGCTGTGAGCTTATAATCCGTAAAACTGTTGTTGTTGTCTGTTTTACGGGAAGATCGCCATCGACCACTTCCTAACCTCGAAAGAGGATGGACTAGAATGTTGTTAGGGAGAGCACACCTGACAGGAGAACGACTCGGGTCCTCAACCAAAGCCTTAGATTAAATGAACACCCGAAAGGCAGCGGGTCTAGCACTTGGTCTATTCACTGACTCATGCGGACAGATGTCCTGCATCTTGGCAGGAAGAAGGGCGTAACCCAACCCCCACCCAGTGGTCGCCACGAGGCATCCAGGACAGGAGCCCATGGCACAACAGTAGCAGCAGTGGGTAGACCATCTGCTAGGATCTAGCCACTGCCAGCCTTAGCGCACCATAGGCTCTTCCGCCATATATATATATATATATATATATATATATATATATATATATATGCGTGTGTGTGCGTAATACATGAAGGTCTCGGTTGATGACCGTATTTAATAGACCTGCCAGTCTTCGATACAAATGGCTCTTGGACAGCCAACAGGAGAGCCAAGAGCGCCCAAGTACAGACGGTGATTAAGCTGCAGCATTGAAAACTGGATTCGAAATTATGATTTGGCCATCTTCCTACCGTTCTCAGTTGGTGTTAAGGAGCGCACAACACATAGTGATGCGATAGCTGAGTATGAGTGCGAAGTGGTGTTCAACCACCCAGTTACCTCATCCACCTTTCTTTCTGAAGTGTGCCGTTTCGAGCAGATTTTTCAACACGTTCAATTGAGTCTGTTCGAGATGAGTACAGTGAATGCCAACTTTAAAGACTGGATTTGTAAATCAGTAGACTGCACTGATTCCCTTTCCTCATCGTCTAAACTCCATATGTAAGATGCTGTTCGGTTAGCACTACATACAATAAGCTATAGGAGACCACGTAACAAAGAATGTTCGCAATATTCTCGACCACATGGAGTTTGTAGAACTGAACTGTACTCATTTAACAATGTGCGATCTTCTCGCCGTGTGAACTGAATCGTAATCGATAGAATGCCCTTCGCTTCCGTTTTTTCACCGCCATTTGTTCCGCGCGATATGATGCAGCGGTGTACAGGCGTGAATGATCACCAATTAACCTGTTGGTATTCCCCTTAGGTGCCTTAGACATACTTTAACGTGGTAGTTAATTAAGCAAGAACAACTCCAGTAATCTCACAAATACCCAACCAATCATCTAAAAATGCGTAAGGAATCAAAAGCTAACTGATGGCAAACTAAGAGCACTCCACTTGCAACCCATTTTCCGATTTTTCTGAGAATGAGATGGGAAACCGCTGGCACGTGGATCCATGTTTCGTCCGATACTGACATATGAGTGTGACGTTGCTTATATTTCCCGTCTTGTGCAAAAGATGTGTCCCAACCACGCTCTACACATATTCGACAGTAGCAAAGGTGTATCAGCGATGGTGAGGCACTGGGGAAAATATAGTGGGAAGCGTTCAACCCCATGGGAGGCGTTAAAAACCGAAACCTGTGCACAGGTTCGCACGTTTCAGTTAGACGAGAAATCAGTGCAATTTAGAATAGACCAGCACGTGGCAGTAGCTAGAAACTACCGCACTAAGTGGCTATTCCGAAGGTTGATACTTTAGAAAGTGGAGACCACAAAGAAAAAAAACAACAGATCGTTAAATTGTTCATTTGTTCTCCGAGCTTGGCTGTTTTGTCGCAAACGTTTCACCACCATGCGAGGTGGCATCCTCAGTGCAGTGATATTCAGCGTAAAATCTTACTGAATGAATCCTCCATCCATGATCGACCTGCACGTGAGTTTTGAAAGTGGCAGTGTCGATTCACTTCCCGTGACCTCTACCCACTTTCCCCAAGGCTAAACTCGGCGCCCAAATTGTTCTGCCTTAAACTGCGAGACAAAATGTTCTTTATTTCTTTCTGTCGTAGTGGTTCGTATATTGAATCCATGTCCACGCGCATGTTAATTGAATGTTTCGTTGAGAACCAAGCTTCCAAGAATTATCTTTCTTTTCTTGTTTCACCCCGTGCCAGGACTTCTGCTTTGCTCCAATCGAAGCTATGTCCTTATTCATCTACATGCAATGAAACTAGTGACGATGCATAATGCTTTTGTATACCACATTGCGTTGTTCATGTGCCTGCAGTTTTTCTTTTGGTTTTGAAAGGGTTTTTCTCAACGTGGCAGTTGGTTTGTGTGCCACGATGAGACGATGCTGTTTGAATAATCTGGCTACCATTTCCGATATGTTCTTCATATAAGGCAGAACAACCCGTTTCTCCGTTGTCGTTGTTGTTGTGTTTGTTGTTGCCGCTGCTGCTGTTGCTGTGGTTGTAGGTTATAGATTTCACGCCGCATATCACTGCACTGAGGATGCCACCTAGCATGGTGGTGAAACGTTTGCGACAAAACAGCCAAGCTCGGAGAACAAATGAACAATTCATTCACCAACCCGAGCTACAAGTATTTCGAAACGTTTTAAACAACAGATCGTATTCATATCAAAATTAGAACAGAGGAATCACGCAGGAATAGTGATGAAGGAAAGAAAAGTGTGTGCACATATGGGCAAGAATAAAAACAAGAGTGGATAAGTGTTAAAATTGGCAGCGGTTCGGATCGAACCTGTCCTCAGTCACCCTTGTGAGGAATTGCAGACGATATCAGGAGCATATACGCTTGCCCGACGCCAATGTCTTGCCAGCAACACGTTCTAACGGGAAAATTAACAGTTATCGACCAACGACAAGAAGCATCAGCAGTACGCCGGAACGCAGTACCGACGCTTCGCTGCCGCGCAACCACCAACAGTCGTAAGTAGGCTAAAGATACTGTGTTGATCGCCTGGTCCCTACGCAGGCTCGAACACGCCCTCAGATCACAAAGCAAGCCTGTAATCCTTAAGGCTAAGATCAACGATGAATGATCGCATACAAAATGAACAATGTGTATGCGCAAGAAATCAGAGAACACGTACTCTTTTCAGTTGCCTGAGGCACACTGAGAGGTCATGTATGTGTGCATATCCATGAAGATCAATGAGCGCGAGATAGGCGTTCCCAATGGGCACAGGGGATTTCGACGGGTCGGACAATGAAGTACCTAACACCGAGGGTTGAGGGACGATCAAGTTGTGAATTAACGGATCGTCGTAAGAACCGGATCCAATCGTGAATAGACAAAGCCACTTCACTAATAACGTCGGGGATAGATAGGCTTGGTTGTGTCCATCTTTTGAATGCAATGTGTCCATATGTGAATTGCGATGCCTCCGAAGGAAATAAGCCCGATGGTCGCTGCCAAGCGCTACAAGCAAGCCGTCAAGCTGTAAAAAGGAGGAATCGACGAGATAAACTGAAAGCGAAGTGCTTTGTGGGAGGAACAATAAAATAAGTTCAACTGAGCACACCGAGAAACTGGAACAAAATAAGTATACAATCTCTAGCATTGAGCAACTTGGGCGACACACTGAGAAACTCATCTAGTAAAAGGAAAACGCAGATTCGCCTGGAACATCAGAACAGGTACGCATGAACATCAAAAATGGAAGACGTGGCGGCACTCTAGATACCGGTCTGTGTAAGGACATCATAATTTGGCTACCAAGAATATAGAAAATGGAGTTCAAATGGTGAACTTGGCGATGATGATGGTATTCAACAGGGTAGAAAAAGTAGAAGTACGATGTTACCATTACTAAGTAGATGTTGGCTAGTAGGACGAGTACTCAGGCAAGCACAGTTACCCACGGCTGGAGCGCCGACCGAAATCAAGACACAGAGTAAGCATGTTTGGAATAAGAGAAAATGCGGGTGGGCTACGCTTCAGCAGAACAACATCCGATTAATGGAATTTGTCTCGCTCACAGTGTTAGAGTTAGATCAATCCTAACTAACCCCGCCACAATGATCATCGATCAACCGCTATCAATCACTGTATTGAACACTGCGTCATGGCCAGAGCAGCGTGCGCATTCGACACAGTATGGTTGTCCAACTTCAGGCCCCGAAATATGCCTATTCTATTAGTGCCGGGTTGTAACAATTTGGTGACGGAGGTGGTATGGATCAAGACGGTGATTTTACAGGCACTTGGAATGCAACTTTTTCATAAGATGAGCACTCTGGAGCCACTCGGTTACACATGTTCCGATTTTCACCGGACACTTATCTGTTCCGTCAAGTAGAGATTCGGCACCTAACCATGATCGAGACCGTCACTAGACAATTATATTTTCAGCCGGCGGTCCTCAAGCAACTACGAATGATCGGGACAGTCACTCGAGACTTGCCTCTTCAAACGGCAGGTGCCAAAATACCGAAGAGCATAAATCAACATTGGCTAACAGAAAATATTCCGAACTGCAAATAGCGGACAGCAACAGTGCCACTTTCCTTGCAGCTGCAACAATCCAAGTGGTAGAAGATCCTCAAGAATCTAATGCAAATAAAACTTTTCTTTGCGGGGAAGATGTTAGGGCTAGACCAATCCGAATTAACCCAACCACAATGATCATCGAGCAACCGCTATCGAGCAATGTATTGAACATTCCGTCACGTCCAGAGCAGCGTGCGCATTCGGTATCATGGGCTGACGCAGTACGGTTGTACTACTTCAGGCCCGTAGCCCAACTTGGTCAAATACATGGATTCACGAAATGTGCCCATTCTATTAGTACCAGGTTGCAACAAACAGTAACATCAAATGGAAAGAAGTCATTCACAAAAACCTTCGACGAAAATGTACCGCAACATGGTGGCAAAAACATAACATAATAAGAGACCAGAGACCACCACCTAACAAATTATGGTTGCTGCGTATCACTTGTCCAGACATTGGACGGACTACAAAACTCGTAATTTTACTTGTCAAGTGTTCAAGTCATGTAAACCGGTCCATGTAATGGGGTGGAGTGCAGGTCCCATGCATGTTGGTATACGCGTAAAAACAGCTGGCATTAGAGCAGGGACGCATCTTGTGACAACGTGAATGCATCTTCGGTGCCCGCAGTTAACCAGTGAAATGAGCAGCTCTGTGTTAATCCACGGGTGTTAACGACAAATGCATAAGATAGGACTAACGTGACGTCGGAGAGATCGCCGGGACCTTGGCCAAGGCCAGAGACTGTAACCACGCTGCTCAAATTCCACCTCCAGTACATGTAAGGAGAGTGGAGAGACCAATGGTGTCGCCGTAATCGACGCGGGAAGCGGACATGGTAAATATCATGCATGAGGTTTTAAGTAAAAAAACAGATTACGGTAAGTTGTGACCAACCTAAGAAGCACAAACACCTATTATTCTTTTGAAATAAATGAGAATATGCGTAGCTCGGGGTGTGGATGCGGATGCCTCGCTTACGAGGCACTGCGAACCAAGCCCCTGAAACCGCACTGATGATGTTGCCAAGTCAGGCAACGAAACGTCTGTACCATAATCAGTCAGCTCGGAGAACCGCCCAAAATCAGCACCTATTATTCTTTTCCAGGCGTTTTGCAAACCACAGCTGTGTAAACGGAAAAATTGAGTCCATTAAGCGCATGGCGCGCCGGGATACTGGTTGACTTGGTTGAACCGCTCAACGCCACCACTCATATCAATGTGCAGTGAGGCAAGTGTATTCTGGTGGACTGGGGTGACCACTGCGCACACAATCGAGTAGACATGTCAACATTCTTATGTGAAACTTTCATCGACACAACAACACAAAGCAGGCAAACATGACTTAACAGACAGAGCAGAGAAAAGTAACCGCAGTTGAAAAACTGATACACCAGAGAAAACGGAAATAAACCCACCACATTACGATATACGGTATGTGATGGTAGCGTGTAGAAGGAATGGGACTGCTCACCACATACGCATTACTAAGGTCAACTCAAAGCAGCAGCAGAAAGTTGTCACTATCCAAAGACCTTTGTCTGAACTGATGTGCTGATGAGATTTTCGAAGATATGGTCTACATTTCAAGTGAAATTTCGTCACAACCTGAGATGGAAAACACCACAAAGTTGGCAGGGAGATACAGCGGCCATGATTGTGCAGTCGACATTGGAATGCTGTTGAGGAAACGGTCGCGGTTCCTACGTCACCGGTTCTGTTCAAGAAGTGATTCGATGTGGCATTAGCATGTTACCCCATGAAAAAACCCCTGGTGATCGAACTTCTTGCACGCAGTCGCCGCCAATAATATCCAGGACGCGTTGTTTACGTGTACCGACCAAATATTCATCATAGAGCCCTATTGTTATTTAACGCACTAATTTAGTAAGCATACCCTTGTCAAATTCATCCAGACAACGAATGGCCAATGTTAGGCATTTGCTTCTTTGCGTGTGAAATGGAAACATTCAATGGTCCGCTTAATTGGAAATCGAATTCTTCAGTCGGTGTATGTGATCACAGCTGAAAATAGCTCAACCGTTGTGGAGCCCAGGTGACGTCTGGTATGCAGTTGAACGGAAACCATAAGCAGATTCATTTGTGCATCCCAAGGTCTGCATACGTACGTAGGAAAGATGCTCCTGGGGGTTCGCCAGGAAAATACGTAAACGAATAGGACCATGACAGTTGCATTCGCAACACAGTATGGACCTTTATCAGACGCAGTGAAGGGAAAATCTGGGAACGACTGTTGGTAACAATGGTCGGATCATGGCAGAGTCCAGAGGTGAGCAACAGACCCTTTGGAGATGCGGTTTCAGTTGATTGCGACGTAGTCAATATGGATGTTTACACTGAAAAACTGCGCTGTAAGGGCACATCTCGTGATCAGCACAGACGGTAACAGCGATCGTCTAAGTTCTGGACAGCTAATAAATAAATAAATGTTTTATTCTCGGCAATGCGAGGCTATATTCTAGACAAAAACCACGATAGGAGAGTTTGTCACGCATAACGATCACGGAATCTCTATGCGATACAGAAGTAAAGAAAATAGTTCAACTCGATTTCAGCTATAATGTTGCTGGGGCGTGGAATAAAGGGGGAGGAGACGCAGTAACCTCAACTGTTGCTCGTTAGGTCTGCAAAAGCCTCCGAATTCAGTTGCACGTGTAACGCTATCCCCAGATAGTTATTTGATCAACCGAATGCGCCATAAGTACCCTTAGCAACAGACTCGAATTTACAAGACATGAATAACGTAAACACTAGCTACGGATGATGGGGATTCGTCGGTACAATGCTGCTGCCCAGTAAGTTTGCCGAAGAGACACAGCACATACAAGATATGCGAGAATGCGGGGTGGAAGCTGACGTCACAGCATGACCGAGGTGGCACACACCGTGGATGGTAAACAGTGGACCAACGGACAAAACAGCCCAAGCTTAACAAGTTTCGTAGAATTATCCGAGTGATAATCCCATTTACAAAAGTAACCTGACCCATTAAGTCGACAGACATAAAGAGGATAGTCAAATTCGATCACTGCTGTCTTCGCAGCATAGCTCATATCTGGTGGGAGCACCGCATTGGCAATGAGCGTGTTGGATGTCGTGTATTTGGTGCAAAAAGAGCGAGTGAACTGCTCAACACCATTATATCACGCGCCAGGCTCCGGTAGCTGCGCCAGATGTTGCGCATGCCAGCAAACCGACTCCCGCGACGTGTACTGTTTGTGCGCCGAGGGTGCGGTTGGAAGAGGTGGGGATGCCAAGCGATGACTTGGTCGAGAGAAATAAAAACTGTCACTTCGAATCTGGCGTTGGTTGATGCATCCCGACTGCCTGACTGGGGTCCGAAGGACGAGGAACAAGTTTGGTTGGACACATTTGCCGATATGGCGAAGAGCCGGCCCAAGTAGCGTTTGTGTTGTCAGTTTGTTTGTCCATCTCTCTCCCCTTTAGAGTCCCCCTCCAATTGCGATCTCATACGAAATGCATAATATAATATTTACCATTACAGTACTTGCTTTGGAATTCTATATGTAGTGTAATTTTTTAGTATCTTATCTTTCCGTATTGCGGTAGATTAGCTGAAGTGTTTCGCACCCTCCGCTAACGCGTATTGATGGTGATGCTGATTCAAAAAGGATTGCCAAAGCAAGACCATGTAAATATGCCTAACTTGATGTTGTGAAGTTTGTGAGCACGATGGTTGTGTAGTGTCGTGGGCCATATCACATGTAAGTTGCGTAATGTCACGTCATGTGTTTCTCAAATGAATTTAACTTGAGCACAAAGACGAAATAAGTCAAAAAGCCGTTTCACAACCGAAAAACATGGAGAGAAATAGTTCAGATAAGATTTCAATCTTAAGCCCTGAGTTCCCTGTATAATTCTAAATAAGCCAGTGAGAAGACTGGTATTGCGTGATGAAACCAT